AGTGGTGGTGGAGATAGTGGTGTATCGGTTCAAATGGAATGAGCAGGAGAGAGGCCAAATTTGAGTCCCCAAAGCTCAAAGGAGCCATTAACAAAGTCATAGTAGCCTCCCTTCAAAGCAAGTGTTCCTTTCACAACTCCTTCTCTCACAAATGGATATGTCAATAGGTTTGCTAGTGACACATTCACTGCCTCCTGCAATGTTCGTACGCATATATATTATATTAGTAATTAACCATTGCTATAAGAAATAATGACATTCGACAAAATTATCAGGATAAACACTTGCACTAATTTTGTTTGGAATATGAAACACTATTTTCTAAGACTAAGTGAATATAACATTTCATTAAGATTTCGTGTATAATGTCCATATACTGTATATAAAAAGAAAATAGAAGGTACGTCCAAAAGATTTTAACAACGATTTATCTCATTTGCTAAAGAATATTAACTAAGCAAACATATTTCTTTCTTAGGGTTTTCAACCATATTCTAATGAATAATAGAATAGCTGAAAGGCTAAAATGGAGAATATACGTACCTTTTCACATCGACCACATTGGTCTTCAAGTGCTGACTTTCCATTTTCTGCCAAAACCTTTGTCTTTGCTGGTAAACAGATTTTGACCCAATCCTCTATAAAATCACTGCCATTAAAGTAAACACCATTGAGTAACCTTGATCATATAAATTGTTGTTGATCAAATCTCTAGTCATAAAATCAATAAATAATGATTATACGTGGAGTTGTTTCCGTCAAGAGGAAAAGTCATAAGCCCCTTGATGCCACCACATGCACTGTGCCCTATCACCACAATGTTCTCCACCTACATTCATAAATTACAGTAATAATCATCAATGGATATATATAGACATATGTGTATTAATGGATATGCGAACATTATATTCAAATACATTCATACACTTGAACGTCCCGGCCCAACAAGGCCCATATGCTTTCTCTAATGAATGATGTCTACGTAAGATCGGTATAAAAGAACATACATGCATGCATCATAGGAATCAAACAATTTTTATGGAAAATCACAAAAAAAAATCTACAGAGAAAGAGAGACCTTAAGATGCAAGACAGCGTATTCAATGGCGGCTCCAACTCCTGCATATTTGACCTACAATTATTTAGAAAAACCTCGTCACGCTTTTATAAGTCATAGTCACACAGACTCGGTTCTGATTCTACAAATCGTTAGTGATGAGATAATAAAATATCTTGTATAAAGTGTTAACCTTGTCATAAGGAGGAACCATATTAGCAATGTTACGAACCACGAAGGCATCGCCGGGATGGAAGTTTAGCACGTGTGATGGGCACACACGTGAGTCCGAACAAGCAAACACCATGTACTGCACC